GCTATATCTTTTGATAGCCAGGCACTATCTGCTTTCTTCATCACGTTTGCTTATCCACCCGCTTTGTCTTCAGAGATCATGCCGGGAAGGTGAGCATCATAGAATGCCAGTTTAATAGAACAAAGTATTCTTGCATTGAGGGAGTACTTGAGTGGAGGCCCAATGTCCATCTGTCACCTTAACTCCAAACCTACAAATATATGCACATAGATCTATTTCCCCATCGTCTTATATAAATATATTTACATATGTCCATGTCTATATTTAGACCTCTGTAAATGCTCTTTGCCTCCTAGTTCTTTCCTCAATTTCCTTTTTTTTTTTTTTAATCATTTTATTAGGGGCTCATACAACTCTTATCACAATCCATACATACATGAATTGTGTAAAGCGCATTTGTACATTCATTGCTCTCATCATTCTCCTCTATTTCCTTTTACGTTCCTCTTGTCCCAGTATCATGTTCAGCATTCATTTGGGTTTCAGTAATTCCTCTCTGTTACATTACCCTTGACCATGCCCTACCAGGCCTCCTACACCCTCCTGGCCATTGATTTTGGTTCACTTGTTGTTCCCTTGTCCCTGGGTTTGTTAACACCCACTTCCTTTCCACTGCCTCCCCCTCTCCCATGTCTCCCTGGAACCTGGAACCGTTGGTCTGTTGTTTTCTCCTCCAGATTGTTTATCCCGCCTATCTTTATGTAGATAGACCTGCAGAGATAATAATATGCACAAAAAACAAGACAGAGTAAAACAAAACGAAAAAAGAAAAGCCTTTAAATAGTTCAAGGTCTGTTTGTTGACCTTTAGGACTGTTTTCTGGTAGAGTCTGATGGGGTGCCACACCCTGGCCCCAAAGTCTATTTTTGGTATTCCCTGGGGACTTTGCGTTGGTGTTCCCCTTGTTGTTCCCCTTGTTGTTCTGTTGCACACCCTTAGTGTTTTGCCTCAGTGTGGTGGGGTCATATTCGGCGCAATTTGGGGGAATGTTTTGACAGATAATTCTGTGTGTGTACAGTGTTTTAACATTGGTGTATGATTGTATTCTAAAGGCAGTTATATGTTAATATGACCATTCTGTAACGCGGTTTGGCCTCATGAACCAACAACTATTATACTTGTGTTTATCTCCTTTAATTTAGAAATGTTACTGATACTCAAGAAGAAAAATAAACAAAAATACAACAAGGTTTCTATCCCATTGTTCATAACAGCCCAAAATTGAAAAGTAATGTAAATGTTCAGCAATGAGATAATGGTAGTTTAGCAAATTATGGTGTAGAAAAATCAGGTACATAATATGTGGTCATTGATAGAATTATCATTAAACCTATGCCACACCGTAAGAGCAGAAAAGTACAAAATTATAAGTGTATTCTCTCAAGATGTATGCATGTGGACATTGTCTAAAAAACACATAAGTATAAAAGTCATTCTGTTGTAAAGCATAAGGTTTCTTTTCCTTTTCTCAACTCTCTGCACTATTGTACCAATAATCACAAAGAATTTTAATTATGCTGGATTTAGAAGTAGCCAATACTTTGCTGAAGACTAAACAGAAAATTACATAAATGTATTTACATTTATTTAATACCTTTATTCTTTAGAACATCGATAAGAAAATTGATTTAACCTAAGTTTGTGGGTGCTGTGGGGTTTTGTTTCAACAGGTACCAGTCAGTGGCCCAGACCTGGAGGGCAAGCTCCTTCATCCCCAAACTATGAAAACTCACTCCACTCCCTGGTAAGAACTTCTTAGAATCATCCAGATAGCCTTTATCTGATAGTTTGGGATTCTCTTCATCTTATTTTATTTTTTTTAATAGTAAATCTTGTGTAACAATGAAGAAACAGTGGGATAGCATTACCCATGAATTCTTTGCTAACAAATGGCCTGGTTTAGTTGAACAATATAGGACACACTGGATGTGCCTTTTGCCATCTGTTCTCTGGTACATCAGGCTTCTGGTCTTAAGACAGCTGGTATTAAAATTGTGTCATGGGATTTCTATTTCTCTGAAAAAATCTAGACCTGAATTTTTCTACACTTCTCTACATGAAAGTGGATGCTTTCTTTAAAAGTAAAAAAAAGACAAGAAACTCAGTCTAGTGATTGTACTCTTTCTCATGTAATGATACACTAGTTTACCACCACAGCTCCATAAAAATTTTGAAGTGTAATATCAATGAATTTTTGTCATGAAGAGTATAATTTTCCACATTTTCCTGTAACAGAATGTGTTGTCCAAAATGTATAAGCAAAAACATTATTTAGCAAACAACAGGGCAGTTGGCTAAATGAGCCTTCATAGGTCCTGAGCCTTAAGAATTTGTGGTAGAATGTTAACTACAGTTGCTTTACTGTGCTTATATTGCTAACACAGAATTACAGAGTTTAATATAAAAAATAAAATAAGGATGATTTTGATGGAGTGCTAAGCTGTGCTTGTTGAGCAATTTCAGGTTGCCATTGGAAAAGTTCTTCTGTGACTAACAGAACATTTTATATTAAAGGAGAATTTCCTTCTCACATGTTTTATAAGCAAATATGAGAAATGTGCGTTGTGTAGATGCTAACCTTGTAACATTGCTGCTAAACCCCTGCCTTCTCATAACTTGAATGCAAGTAGATCTTGCAGGTCTCTGTGTTCACTTACTAACATTTGATGCTGACATGCATATCAGCTATATCCTCATCTCTTTTGAAATTAATCTTAACCTGTGCTTTGCCTCCTGTTCTGTCTTGACTTTGCCAGAAAAATCGAGTTGAGCAGCAACTTCACGAGCATTTGCAAGATGCAATGTCCTTCTTAAAGGATGTCTGTGAGGTACTATTTCTTTTAGATGGTGCCTTTTCTTTTGTTAATGTTTCAAATATTTATACTTCCCATTACCCATTTTAATTCCTGAAGCTGAACTGACTTCAAAGTCTTTTAAAATCAAACAGTTGATCATTTCCGTTTCTGTAGCAGCATGTAAGAATAGACTTGTTCTTTTATGTTGTTGAGAGGGAGATTCTTCTTAAAAGACCTCTACTGGCATGTGCTTTTCATTTTTAAAGTTCTAATATGTATGTGTACAGGGCATGTGTGTATCCTTAGACAATGTAATTTCCTTAGTTTTGTCTGAGAGCATATTTCGATGTGTTCGCTAGAAGTTAGATATGCGTTATTCACTAAAAGCAAAATTACAACTTGAACTTCCCCAAACTGCAATCATTTCAAAGGATCAGTGTTAAATTACAGGTTGTCCTCCTTTATCCACTGCAAGTGAGTGACACACAGCCTCGTCTTTTATAGAAATTGAAAGAAATAACCTCATGGTAGATTGGTAAATTCACGTTTCAAAGCAGTGATTTGTTTCTGAATCTGTTCATTTAGCATAGTCTACAGATAAGCTTTCCTTGTTGATTTGTAGTGCAGGCAGTTGCTTTTGAAGCTGCTTGATATTGCTTTTCTCTTACTATCTTCCATGTATCCTGAAGTAGAAACATAGCAGTTCAATGAATCTAGCAGACATCAGCAATGAACTCTATTTTTTGTTTTTTCAATCTCTACAGCAATCTCGGATGGAGGATCGTTTAGACAGACTGGATGATGCTATCCATGTGCTTCGGAACCATGCTGTGGGACCTTCCACCAGTTTGCCTGCTGGTCACAATGATATACACAGTTTATTGGGACCATCCCATAATGCACCAATTGGAAACCTCAACTCAAACTATGGAGGATCGAGCCTTGTTTCAAGCAGTCGATCCGCTTCAATGGTAATTAGCACTCTATTTTCTTTCTTTTCAAAAATCACTCCTAAAGCCCATTGGCTTAAATGTTTTGCATGGTCATAGTAATCCTGAGGTGGTGTACAATTGCAAATCACGTGAACGTGTGCACTCATTTTACTTTTAATTTAGACCAAGTACCCTGATGATGTTCAGATAGACATTAGGTAACTCACTTGCTGCATGTGTTCTTCTGTCTTACAGATTATTTGCGGGAAGGGAGTCTTGTTTTGTTTGCTTTTCGGTTAAAAAGAGTGGCTTTTAAGAATTTTCTTAGGCCAGGTCCTTGGTGCGGTATTGGCCCATAAAATATTTCTATGACCATATGCAGAAAGCCAAAACTTTCTGCAAAGATCATTTTAGTTTATGCTTGGATTTATTCCAGATGTGTAATAATTGGCAGAACATTTTTTGCCTTGAAATGGTGTATAGGAAGTCAGAGTTGCAAAAGCGGTAAAGCAAGACTGAACTTCAAGGGTACAGTCTAGAAAAGCTGTTTATTATAATTTGGAATTAACCTTCAGTAGCAAAAGGAATGTGAAACTCTAATTTGCACAATTCCAAATTTAAACTTTGGAATAAATTTTCCATTTATTCCCAAATTGGGGGGAGGTACGGTGGGGTATGAGGTCGGGTTAAGAACAACTGTAGTTCAAGTAACAATAGAAGGAAGCAATTTTAGATTCATCTCTGAAGAGAATAAAGTCATTCAGTTCCATCTTTTTAAAAACATAATAGCTCATTAGGGTGGGGCGGGAGTAGATTTCTACAGCCGCACACACCAAAATAATAATCATCTATATTGAGTGTCAGATTTTTTTAAATCTAAATTGTCTTTTAAGGGGCATGAAGCTCTTTTTGAACATGCTATTTAACTGATACCATGTGTTGGCATGTTTATAACATGGTTTTTACGGTTCATTGCATGCTGTCAAATATTCTCTATGAAACAGATTCCTAGCTGTAAGCCATGTGATGGAGGCTAGAACTCACGTAGCATCAAAAATAATTAGGTGTCCAAATGCGGAAGGCTTGTGTTCCGTTAAACAGGATTGGTTCCAGCATTTCACTTTCACCGTCAGACAGCCATTTATATTCATTTTGGAGCCCCTGAATTAAGCATCAAACAGGTTTCCAGGTTTCCGATGAGCAGTGTTTTCAGCAGCTTGGCTGACATTAAATACCTGCATATCTTATAATCCATTCCTAAAAAGGACAAAATCCTGAAATCCAAGATTTTGTGTTTGCTATTTATAAGCTAAGCAGTGTGGAAACATTCATGTTATAAAGCACATCGAATTATAAGGTGCTTTGTTTTCATTAGTAGTAGTAATAAAAATCCTTTTTATATACAGTAGGATGGCATTTGTTGCAACTAGGAATGGAGCCTCGCACATTATCTGCTACGTGAATGATCCTTATTTAAAAGAATGGCTCAGACTAACTAGCCTTGATCTCTAAGGTGGAACAGTAGCTGTCTCCGCGCCGTCCTCGGTTTCATGCTTCATGGCCACCTCACTGCTACTCTCCCACTGTATCTGCTCCACCATCTGATAAACCTCTCGCTTGCAATATTTTACTTCCTTCTTTCCCATTGAATGTGGGCTTGATGTAAGATTAAATGGAACTAACGTGGAAGGTGATCTTTACCAACTTTGGGTGTGCCATACTAGGAAGAGAGATTTTCAAATTTCCAGTTCTCCAAAACCATGTGGAAACCTCATGCATTTTAAATGGACTTGTGGAGGAGGAAATGGTTTCATTAGATTGTGTTGAGGCTTTTGATGAACAAAAGTTTTTTGTTTTTTAATTTTTCATCAAATCAACTCATGATTGACCTCATGCTCTCTGTTATCTCCAATGGCTGTTGTTGTTGTTGGTTTTAAAGAAGTAGATTACCTTCTGAGCCACCTCTGGGTGGACTCCAATCTCTGACCTCTCCTTAACAATGTACATCTCTGCATCCCTTCCAGACATCATCACTAGTACTTTCTGAGGTGTGCAGTTCCGCTCTTGAAATATACAAAAGTATCAACTGGGAAAATCTGACACTAATATTAAGTGAGTCAATATTTATCTCCCAGGCTTCAGAAATGAGGGTTTTTTTGCTTTGAATCCTTGGTTCAGTCAAAAGACCAAAGGATGGAATGAAGTGAGGATCGAAATCAGCCCAGAAAATCTTTTCATATTCGTTGAGAAAATGTGTGATATTGGGGACCTATTGCTGTAACTCTTCCCAGACATTTTCAGGAGTTCATCTGCTCTCCTCGGCCCCTCCTGCCTCCCTTTATGCCAACTGATAGTACTGAAAAATGGCTGAGATTTACATGGTGACATAATTTTCCTTTTTTTCTCCCAAATCTAGATACTTTCTCTTTGCATTAACAAGCATATACTATCAAGGTTACTTGTGGAATGATGCTGACATGAATGTGTTAACAAAAATAATAGTGTCCTTGATCATGGAAATAGCTTTTATTTTTGAATACTTTTCTCAAAGTGTTTTTTTTTATTAATTTTGTTAGGGTTATACTGTGATCATTCACCAGCTGAGACTTGTAGGCAATCAACCTCTTATCTTGTAGTTCATATAATTACCTGTTACATTTTAAATTGTCCTATAAAGATTTTTTTCTAGTCCATGCCAACTCAAGAAGACTGAGTATATGTCTAAGAATCAGTAACAAAAGCAACAAAAAGAATAACAACTTATTTTCTGCTTTTTTTCCTAAAACTGACTATACTAGATTAGCATCTGAGTTTAGAATTAAATGATGTTTCAGACACAGAATGATTTTTGACATATTTTAGTTATCTAATATACACAGGAATTAAATTTCCTGGGAGATTGTTGTATCAGAAAAGGAAACAAGGAAATGAGTAATCCCTATTCCTTTTGATGTGATTAACGTAGCCAGCCAGGCATCGTGTTTATATTTGCTCTTATTTTTGAATAGGGTTAAGACTTTCATTTACTTAATTTCCCATGCACTTTCAATATTATTGATGTATTTTTCCATAATGCAAACTTAAGGCTTTTATTGAACATCCTTTTTTAGTGTGCAGCAGTGCTCTATCTTTAAAACTGTAAAGCATAAAGTCCATCTTTTAAGAACCATTGCAGTGTCAACATTGGACTGTTGGCTTAATTCCTGGAGTAAAGTTCTGCCAGGAAAAAAGGAAGACCGAGAAGTAGGCAATGGAGAATGGATGAAATTGTTCATTTCCCGTAGGTGCTATAGATAGAGGGATATCATCAGGGCTAAGTTACTGTGTGTGCATCCCATCTCTGGACGTTGGGTCTAAATTAAAGGCCCAGCAAGATAATTCCCTGGTAGCACTTTTATCTTTAAAAAAAAAAAAAAAAGACTTGGTTATCTCTCAATCAGACAGTGATTTCAACTTCAAAGTGAGATTGCAGTCTTTTTGTTACTTGGGAGCTTCTTGCAGATCTTAGAGAATTCCTTTATTTGTGACAGAGAATAGCATTCCTTCCCGGAGTTGTGTGGATTTCATTGTTACAAATACTGAGGAAATTTAATTCAAGCATTTCTCTCAAATTAATTTTGGTATTACTTTGGGATTTTGTTGTTTAATCTGTGGTTAATGGTTAAAGCCATAATATTCTTGTTTCAGAGCAGAGTAAAAAACATTAATTCGTGGAATTTAAAACTACCTCATATGTTTTAGTAATATGAATTGTGTCCTTTAAAGTCTAAAGCCGTTAGAAAACCTGTATTATACTTTGTTCTAAGAGACTTAAGGTTAAAGATCCCAGACAAATGGGGTCATATTTTATTGACAACTATCTCAGTACTTTTTTCACTTAGCAAAAGACTCGGCATCATTTTAACCTTCCACTCAGACAATATTTTAATTTTGGTGGTATGCGTTGTATTTATATGCTACAGAAGCTATATAAGGAGAGTCTCAGCATAAAGAAAACTTTAAAGTGAGTCTCTAAAATAATCATTCAAAATGTTAACTTTTACTTGAAAACCATAGAGGCAGTATTTTTATGGAGATCTTATTTAAAAGGAACTACCACAAATGTGATATTACAAAGGTTCTAATATAAAACCCCTCGTCAGATAGAAAAAAACACTGTGGAATAAATAATACACAAAAAGCCTCTAATCAGCTCTATAGGTTAATACCAATTGGTTTAAATTATTAGTATTCAGTGAACAGTACAAATTGAGCAAATTATTAGAATAGAATTCAAATCAGAGAGGAATTCATCCTGAACACTTCTCAGTCTGTCCCTTAATTCACCAACCTCTTATTCATCAACTAATTAGATTTAACATTTTCCATTGTGGGTATTAAAGATATTGGTTGAATTAGATGCAAACAGTTCCCTCTTTGGGGGCGTCCACAAAAGTAAGGCCATAAACAGTCTGGGAAGACTCAAAAGGCAGGATGATGTCATCTAAAGGGATGGGTCTTTTATTCTGAAATGAAGCCCTTCGTAATCATTGAAATTTAGAGCCTAGCTGGCCAGGGGTTTGCCTTTCCCTTGCCTCCCCAATAGCTGCAGTCTGTCAGCTGTATGCTAACGAGGTGAACAATTAAATCAGGGTTCCCTTTGGCTGGCCCCACAGACTTTGGGCTCAGACAAAGAACTGTTTATACACCTGTTGTGTGTGTGTGTGGACAGTGCCATTTGAATGTGGAGCTGGAGATAAAGGGAGAACCTGGGCTCCAGGGTGAGCAAGGGTTAAAGAGAACTGCAGGAACTGTGAAAGTCAAATTCTCCAGAAAATATATGAGAGCCATTTGCTAGGGGAATCGAATTACAAAGGAAAAGTTCCTGCTAACTTCATTAAGATGAAAAACTCCAGACTTCAACCTCTCTGCTAGTCTGAAATCATTTTTAAAGGCTTATAATATGACTCTGTGTTCCAATTTTTTTTTTTTAATGGAACCAATAATGTAGGTTAACAAAAATACTTGTTAACTATGTTCCCAAACAAACTTAGGAATGTTTCTGACTTTCCCTTCAGGGAAAGGCAAATTGTTAAAATTGATCATGTAGATATGATCCTGTGTCTGCCAAGCATTTCATCAGGAAGTGGTGAAAAAGAGAACATTTTTATAGAGTTTCAGGAAATAAAAACTTTATACTAAAGAAAAAAATTTTTTTAATTAAAATTCAGCAATGGCACTATTACATTTGTGAAAACTCAGTTCAGTGGTGTGGTGGCTTACAGCACTCTGAGATTTCACTCGTATAATATATGGCAAATAAGCATGTCTAAAACTTAAAGTGCTGTTTTCTATTAAGTTAGTTGGTGTAATAGTTTTACATAGCACATGTTGCTAAAGATCATAGAAATCCTTTATGTTTTAAGCCCACATTATCATAAACCCAAGCAAGAGAAATCTCAGCTTTGACTTTATACTATAACAATTTCCTCAGCCAATCAAAACTTTCCAGTGATATTTTAATCTTCAGTGTAAGCTTCCAAAGAATTTGTAGCTATATATTTTGTTTACTTACTCCCTACCTATTTTTAATGGGTTTTTTAAACTGACCTTCCAGTTAGAACATTGAGTTAGTTCATAACCAGCAAGAAAGCACCCTCATTTGCCAAGAATAAACATGACCAGGATGCCCTTGAGGCAGGATTTCCTGGAAACATTTTTATAGTAATTTCTCTCTTGAATATAATTCTCCCAGTCCATATCTTCACTGGTACTTTGTTAGATTGAACTTTTTTAGACTTTTGTCAGGTCTTGTTTTAGGGGGAAATCTTTAAAAAAAATTTTTTTAATCATTTTATTGGGAGCTTTTACAGCTCTTATAACATTCCACACATGGATTGTATAAAACATATTTGTACAGATGTTGTCATCATCATTTCCAAAACATTTTCTACACCAAATCCTCCCCCCCCCCCTTTTTATTAAAAAAATAATTTTATTGGGGGCTCATACAGTTCTTATCACAATCCATACATCCATCCATTGTGTATCAAGCACATTTGTACATTCATTGCCCTCATCATTCTCAAAATGATCTTTAAAGATTTTTTTATAAATCTTTAAACATTTTGGAGGTGTGAAGAGCTATGGAAGTGGACTTTAGTTTTTGTGGTCTCTTCTTGCTTTGAAGGTTTGACGATTCCAGCATATTAGCAAATATGTTGTGTAGAAAAACGGGATATTCGGTGCTCGATTATCCGAGGGAAAAAAATGATACAAATGATCGTCAACGTTGAGTTTGTATGTATTTATGGGATATACTGTGTTTTTTTAAATACATTCAAGGATAAGGGTGGTGGGGACCCATCTTTCTCTCTGTGGAGTGGAAGAGCAATGTGTTTGTTCTAATTATGTCTACTACTAAATAACTTGTCTTTTCCTAAAACTTGCTTTGATTCCTTCTGTACTTTTTATTTCACTCACAATCAATGGATAAACTTGAATAGGAATATTTGTATCTTTTAGGGTAAAATCCACACTAAGGCATGAAATATTAAAAGGCTGTATATTACTTACCCAAGAGGGATCCAAGGCTCAGCAGTTTACTAGGATGGAAGGATTTGTTGAAAAATAGTGGTCTCATGTGTAACTCCAGGCAGTAAACCTCTTTAATTAAAGGCTTACTCTTCTAGTTGACAAGTCTGCTTCTATTCCAATACAAGGCTTCATCTATATCCAGTTTTCTAAAAGATAGTGCACTAGCTAAAGACTTAGTAGTGCTCACTTGTTTCGCCTTCCCGTTTCAGGGTAGCTGTTTTTGCATAGGAAGCCTGGCGGTGTGGTGGTGAGGCACCAGAAGCTGCTATGCAGGAGCAAGACTGGGCTTCCTACTCTTGTCAACACTTACAGTCCCTGAAACCCACAGGGGTCACAATGACTCAGCATGGACTTGATGGCAGGGAGTTGGGGGAGGGGTGTGTGTGTATAATATTGCTGTTGCCTGGCAGTGCAGCTTCTGTTTTCAGTGATTTTCAATTTTCATTGCTTTTGTCACTGTTTTAATATTTTAGAGAGGAGAAAGATACAAGTGTGTAGAGGGGAGGGGTATATCAAAATATAGAGAAATACCCTTAGTACTTGGAATGTAGTGGTAGGTAGTTTGTTGAATGCAGGGTCATACAAACTTTAATACATGTTACTTATATGAAATTATTTTTTTAGATTGGTTATCTAAGATCTCTATCACCCTATAATGTGGTTTTTTTTTTTTAACTTAGAGAACAATGTAATAACTAGAGGGGAATTCATACTGAGTACTTTTGCAACAATTCTTCAGAATATATATAACTTTGAAGTCAGAATTTTGTAAGAAGTAAGTTTGGTTCAGAAGCACTGCTGCTGCTACAACCCTGAGACCAGAAGAACTAGGTAGTGCCTCACTGCCACTGCTTGGGTCACACTAGAGGGTCCTTAATGGAGTGGGAGAAAGAAGTAGAAAAAAGTTCAAAATCATGAACAAAGATCAGGCTTTTACTGGTCAGATAAAGACTGGTGGAACCCCCAAGACTATGTCAACCTTCAGGCTTGGACCTCAACTCAACAGTGTAGATAGACCGATGAAGTGAACAGTAGCACCAGAGAGGAACGAATTTATCCAAACAATCAACCGTATGTGACTAGGCGGGCAGCATTTGCCAAAGGACAGTGCTCAGAAGGCAGGAAGAAACGGGAAGGAGGATGCCTGGAAATGGGCAATGGGGAAAAGTGCTGTGGGGATTCCTGCCATCAGTGCAGGAAACAGAAGGTCTGAATTGTTGAATGGGAAACACTTGGCTCTAAACTTTCACCCAAACCACTATAAAAAGTTAAAACAAAAACTACTGTTACCATTTCTTTTGATATTCCCACCCAAAAAGGAGAAATGCCACCCTACGAAGGTTGATATATTTTGATGAGTGAGGTTGCTCTCTTTTAAACCCCACAACAGAATTGAGTTGACATTTTTGTTTCTGAACTATAGGTTGGAGCTCATCGAGAAGATTCCGTCAGTCTCAACGGCAATCATTCAGTCTTGTCCAGTACGGTTACTGCTTCAAGCACGGATCTCAACCATAAATCACAAGAAAATTACAGGGGTAACTATTGTTGGGCTTTCATTAGTAATGCAAACAGTTATCATTTGAATTCCATCACCGTTCTCACAATCACATTGGCATCTATGAATTAGAAGTTAGCTAGCTGGAGGAATTGAGAGAGGATTGATAGTGCATGAATGTGGACAGACAGATACTTTGGGTTCCCATAGGCCCCTTTGGGTGCTTATCAATCGGGAGAAACCAAGTACAAACTATTGTTCAGTCATTTCCTGATCATCCTCTTAGGTGCTCAGCTTTGGCATGTGTTTCTTCCATAATCATTGCCCTTCTTGCCTGAGCTCTCCTGGTCTCTAGAGCAAGGGGAAGGATATTTCCAAGTATGTTGAGTGCTCTGGTGGATGCCATTCTTTCAGACCTGATAATTTAACTGGAGGTAGTTACAATTCTGATAAGATACAACTGATAAGTCTTACAATACATCCTGTGTAAATGAGTACAGATAGCTGGCTAATATTAAAGAAAGCTCTCCCAGTTTTATTTAACCAAGATTCTTGTTTTATTGTGTTTATCCTGGAAAATGTTATGCTTATTTCCTTTACCTTGGCAGCATCTCAGAAGTTAGTTTCCAAAAAGTATCGAGTCTCTTGTACTTTGTTCCGTTGTTAATCAGAGCCTGGAAGTAAACAACAGGCTAGCCATCAAGGTCAGACTGGTTCTTTTAAATACTGGTGGTAGCAAATGCATTTCATGCTGTTTTAATGATTAAAACCTTTCCAGCCAAGCTTTGCCATGTTTCTAGATGTCCAAGCTAGCCCTGAAACATCTAAGGATGTGCACCCACCAGAAGCATTACAGGCTTCGTTCTCATTCATAAAGGAAATGTGGTCATTAATTTCATGTGTCATTTGACTCTTCGTCAGGTGGCTTGCAGAGTCAGTCTGGAACTGTCGTCCCAACAGAAATCAAGACTGAAAGCAAAGAAAAGGATGAAAACCTTCATGAACCGCCTTCATCAGATGACATGAAATCAGATGATGAATCCTCCCAAAAAGACATCAAGGTTTCATCTAGAGGCAGAACAAGGTATTTACTAATCTCCTGGAATCCAGTTTTACTTTTTTGAAATGGGTGGAAATACTCAGAAAATGACCATGCATTTATTAATACCAGCTATGTACTAGACACTGTGCTGGGATTTTGTGTATCCTATTTCTTGTAATCCTCACAGCATCCATAGAAGGCTGATGTAGGAAGAAATTCTGGCATAAAGCTGTAGTAACTTGACCTAGATATTAAATAGGATACAAACTCAGATTTGTTGACTCCAAAGTTTTCCACTATACCGTACCATGTTAGGGCCTCCTTATGAAAAAGAATTTCTCTACCCTGTACAGTCTGTGAAGAGAATACAATTAGAAGATGAAATAGGTAGAATGCGTTAAACTGTGAGCTGTAGACACTGCATTCAAATACACTAATTTAAGCCTAAATATATGATAATACTATCATATAATTTAAGCTAGCAGTCAACAAAGTATAGTTCACTGTATATTTGTACAAATAAAGTTTTATTGGAACTCGGCCACACCCATTCATTATTGTGTTCTGCGGCTGCTTTCTCCCTGAAGCAGCAGGTTTAAGTTGCCTGATTCTTAGGTTAAACAATCATTTGAAAAGTGTCTGGGAAAGGAACAGCTCCAGATGGACTGATGTTGTTGGAGCAGGTTTCCCAGAAACTGAGCTTCAGCAACACAGAGACATTGCTTTCAAATGACTTAAGTTGAAAGATTGCTTCCTTCAGATTTCTCTACACTAAAATTAGATACTTAGGAATAGTTGTGGTATATTCTACCTCTTGGTGTATTCATTTATCAATAATATTTATATATCACATGCAGTTATTCATTTATAAAATATAATTAATTGTGCCAACCGTGGTGTGAAGATTATCTCTTTTGAGAGACATTAACTAACGGAATTGGACATTCAGTTGGTGCTGAAGTACAGCAACCTTATAGGGCAGAGTAGAACTGCCTCACAGGGCTCCCAAAGCTGTCCATCTTTAGCCCACCCACTGCCTCATCTTTCTCCTGCAGAGTGGCTAGTGTGTTTGAACTGCCAACCTTTCAGTTAGCAGGCAAGCACATTCACCACTGTGCCACCAAAACTCTTGTATAAAGGGACAGATAGCAAATATTTTAGGTTTCGTGGACCATATTATCTCTGTGACAACTTTGCTGTTAGCTAAAAAGCTACCAAAGATACATTTTAAAAATGGGTATATTTATTTTTTAAAAACAGTGGCCAACCCATGGGCTATGGTTTGTTGGCCTCTGCTTTAGGTGATGAGACATTGAGGGGCAGTATGATCCAAGTGAAGAAGAGGGCCTTCGACTTTGGACTGGAGTCTCATTGGACAATTCAATTGGCATAATTCAGTTCATGAAGTTTATATTCTACATCCTAGTTTGGTGGGTGGTAGCAGGGATCTGAAAAGCTTGTGAAACACCCTTTAGGATAGACTAATTGATTTTTGTTCATCTGGAGCAAAAAGAGTAACCAGGAAGTCAAAGACTTACAAGAATGTAGACTACAGGACTGGTCGTCTGAAAGAACCATGACCACATCTCTGTTGGAACCAGAACTTCATGGTGCTTGGCTATTGGTATCCACTGTAGTCCTTAGGGTCACAATAATGATTCCTGAATGGAAGAGAATTGTTCAGGAGACTCCGCATTCTCAGAACGCTCAGACTTCCCAGGTGAGTTGAGACTTGTGGACCCCTCACGACAATCACCCTCAGATTCTGCTTAAACTTTAAGCAGAGACTACCCCCAGAGGTTATTTTTTAGCTAGAAAACAGACTGGCTTATAAAACAAAGACACACCCAGGAGTTCTGCTTGCCATTAACAATTGTTACTGTATATGAAGGCAAATGGTCAACAAGCAAACACTCTAAACTAGTGATGAGAAGAAAGGGAGCAGGGAAACTAGAGTACTGGGACCGGAACAGTCAAAGAGCACGAAGGCTGCGTATTATGAGAAATGGAACCAGTGTCAGCAAACAGTTTTTGTGGAAATGTTTTAATGAGAACTATTTCCAAAAGTATATGTGTGCATATATAAGTCTAAGCTATATGAAGGGTCCTCAAAAGATTGGTGGAAGGTGGAATTAAAAGATACAAATTAAAAGTGTAAACCTTGACCAAATATATATATATATATACACACATAAGCTCCATCAAGGTCAAGACACTTTTATAACCAGAATTAACAGCTATTTAGTCCATCCCTAAAGAATTGAGGGTCCTGGGATCCTGACCTTGTCAGTGTAGTCTTTTTACACTGAAGGAAAATGGTGTCCTGTAGAGATTTTTCTTAAATATGAAGTAACAAAGAAGTCAGAAGGAGCCATCCTTAGGTGGGTACCTAATGCTTTCCTATCAAAACGTCCACAACATTGCCCTTGTTTGATGAGAAGACTGAGCAGGAGCATTGTGGTGGAAAAGGATTCTCTGGGGGAAGCTTTCCTGATCATTTTTCTGTTCACAATTTGGCTGATTTTCTCAAAACATTTCCCTTATGAGCAGATGTTATCATTCTTGGGCCCTACAGAAAGTCAACGAGCAAATGCCTTGAACATTCAAAAAACAGTTGCCATAACCTTGAGTGTCTGGCTACTTTTTTTTTTTAATCATTTTATTGGGGGCTCATACAACTCCTATCACAATCCATACATACATCAATTGTGTCAAGCACATTTGTACATTCATTGCCCTTATCATTCTCAAAACATTTGCTCTCCACCTAAGCCCCTGGCATCAGCTCATTTCCCCCACTCCCTCCCCGCTCCCCCCTCCTTCATGAGCCCTTGATAATTTATAAATTATTTTGTCATATCTTACACTGTCTGACAGCTCCCTTCACCCACTTTTCTGTTGTCCGTACCCCAGGGAGGAGGTTATATGTAGATCCCTATAATCGGTCAACCCTTTCACAGAAGTCGCCCAATTCACAACAGTAGCAAAATTACAGTTATGAAGTAGCAACGAAAATAATTTCATGGAGACCTAATTCCCCTCTGTAGACAATTGGACATCCCCTCACAGAGGGGTCACAGGGAAGAGATGAGCCAATAAGGGTACAGTGTAGCACCAATGAAACATAACTTTCCTCTAGTTCTTTGCTGCTTCCTTCCCCCCACTATCATGACCTCAAGTCTACCTTACAAATCAGATCAGACCAGAATGTGCACACTACTATGGACAAGAGCCCACAACACAGGGAATCCAGGATAAGATAACTCCCCAAGGCCAATAATGAGAGTAGAGATAACAGGGGGATTAAGGGAGGGTGGAGGGAGAAAGGGGGACTTGATCACAAGGATTAACCTGTAACCCTCTCTCAGGGGGATGAACAACGGAAAAGTGGGTGAGGGACTACGGAGGACCACGTAAAATATGAAAATAATAATCTATAACTTATCTAGGGTTCATGAGGGAGGGCGGGTAGGGGAGGGAGGAGGAAGAAATGGGGAGCTGATATCAGGGGCTCAAGTGAGAAGAGAATGCTTTGAACATGATGATAGCGGCATATGTGCAAATGTGCTTGACACACTGGATGAATGTATGGATTGTGATAAGAGATGTAAGCGCCCCCAATAAAATATTTAATTAAAAAAAGAAACGAAAATAATTTTATGGTTCGGGAGTCACCACAACATGAGGAACTGTATTAAAGGGTCGTGGCATTAGGAAGGTTGAGAATCTGTCTCTTTTATTAGTCTGCAGTTGGTTGGGAATGTAAATGATTCTGTCACCTTCCTTTACATAAATATGTATGTACATCTCTAATTATATTGTTCAGCTGAATTTCCAAAGTGGACTTGCTGATCGGTCAGGAAATAGTGACCATTTTTAAGGTTTTGGGCTCATTTTGTTTATTTGTCCTTTAGAATAATTGTTCCCATTCTTCTATGCTTTATAATGATCACCAATAACAATGGTATTTTTTCTTTGGGGGAAAAACATTAGCACTTTGCAGAGATGCTTCTATATCTCAGTCCTTTATCCCTTCTCCCCACGCGGCTGCCAGAACATATCTGAGAGCCAGCTCAACTCACACTCACTGCTGTCTCGTTGACTCGGACTCATCGCGAGCAACCCTGCTACACAGGGTAGAACTGCCCCTGGGGGTTCTGAGACTCTTTATTGGAGTAGAAAGCTCATCTTTCTCTCATGGAGCAGCTGGTGGTTTCAAACTGCCAACCTTGTGGCTAACAGCCCAACTCATAACCCGTTGCTCCACCAAGGCTCCTTAAGAGCATAGGTTAGACAAATTATGATGCACTAGTGTATCAGAACAGTGCCCTCAAACTTTTAATGTGTGTATGAATCAGTGGGGGATCTTATAAAAATGTAGATTCTGGCTCAGCAGGTTTGGGGTAGCAGCTACTTGTTTTTATGTACAGCCCACATTTTTAACAAGCTCTCAGTGATTGATGCTGTTTATCTGTGAATTCTGTTTTTTTAATAGCAAGGTGCTGCACTATTATGTAGTCATCTTAATTATGTTCATGAAGAGTTTTAGTAGTAGTAAGTCATTTTGTTGTCATATACACTAAAAAACGCGTTCAAAGTGTTTACAGTGTGACTTCAGCTGTGTGTGAGTGCAGTGAGTAAAGATTTGAAATAGGTATACAATAATAAGTATAGTTACTACTCCTGTTTGGTAAAATTTATAGGGAGTTTATGTTTCTACTTGTAACTTTAAAGCATTGATCAATAAGCATATTTTATAGGAAACCTAACAGACATTGTCATCCCCTTGGATTTTAGCAGTACTAATGAAGATGAAGATTTGAACCCAGAGCAGAAGATAGAAAGGGAGAAGGAAAGGCGGATGGCTAACAATGCCAGGGAGCGCTTGCGCGTGCGGGATATTAACGAGGCGTTCAAAGAGCTCGGAAGGATGTGTCAGCTTCATTTAAAGAGTGAAAAGCCCCAAACAAAACTCCTTATTCTTCATCAGGCTGTGGCAGTTATCCTTAGTCTCGAACAGCAAGTCAGAGGTGAGTTCACTCCGTGCCCCTTGCCCTTTTTATTGACAGCAAGTCCCCTTTTCCTTAACTATTGGCTATTTCTGTAAGATTTGTATATGTTGAAGGAATTCAAAGTAGAAGAAAAAAGAATCTTTGAAAATGAAAAGCAAAAAAAAAAAGGAAAGCATGGATCATCAATGTAGATCACATACTCATTTCAAGTGGACAAGGATGTCTACCTTTGATCGCTCTTCTTCTCGGGCCTGTTGCTTCCAGGTTCTCCCAGGACTCTGTCACTGCACCTTCATGGTCAAGTTCTCCTGTAGGCTTCAGCTCTATACTACTGTTGGTCATTGTCTATAGACCCAGAATTCCCTGTGAACCATTTGGGGGTCATCCATCCTACGAAGCAATGGGGCCGAGGGCAGGCAGCCTCTGCCTGCTGTACAGCATCATACCTTGTGTGCCTTCACTCTTGTTGACTCTCGGCTCACACTCTGGAACCCACCTGCCTGCACCTGCTCCTTTTCTGGATGGCCTCCTTATTTCTCTTACCCCATTTCTTATCTGCTCCATCCTTGGGCATCCACCATGCCCTCTGGTTACGGTGACAGGACTCCAAGTCATGACCCATCCTAGCTCTGCCAGATGTAAATGTCCTTTATACCCCTGTCTATAGGACTTCAGGGCTGTTTTTCTTGCTCTCTAATCAGAAATGTGATGAACACCTTGGATCAGTATACACTGACACACCTGTTTGTCCCTAAGGGCAGAAATGTGGTTTATGTAGATTCATGTACATTCAACTCAGATGATTCACCAACTGTCTCCCCTACCGCCCCCCCTTTGTTTTTTAACAAAAAGTTTGCTACATCCTGGGTAAAGCTTCGTTTGTGTTCAACAAGCATTTGTTTCATACCTGCTCTGTCCCAGTCAGCAATGCACCAAACCCTGGGTTCTAAACCAACACAAAGCTCCTGTCCCTGCAGGCCCCTACCCCTGAACTTACCCTGCTGCGTAGGTCTGTATGTCTACTTATCCAGAATTAGAGTGTTTTAGCTTACGTCTTTCTGCAGGGGAATACGCACATGGGGCCGGAGCCTCTCTCCATTGAGCACAGATGTCCTTTTATCTTTCCTGTTTACTGGATGTTTATGTTAAGATTTTATTTTAGGAAGAAGATTCAAAAAAGGGGAGAGAGAAAAAAAGATGGGATGCTTAAAAACTGCAGCTTCAACAGAGATTATAGAAAGCATACTCTTTCCATAGGGCTCCAAAATTAGAAAACTTAGTAAACTTTCAGAAAGCTACACAGTAGTAGTATATTCATGTACCTACTTTCCTTCCGTCTTTTTAGGAATGAGAATGAGCAATAGAGTGTACCCAAACTGCCGCTAAAGACATACTTTCTCTCCTCGTCTCAAGGCCCTTGCAATACCTGTAAAGATGAATAGCTAATGCAGCCTGCTCACTAAGGGGCTGTATCCTCCCTTGAGATACTCATAAAGACAAGCTAAGTGTTGCTCCCTTCCCTGTGGCAGGAGTAGAAGAAGTTCTGTGCACATATCACTCTCTCCTGTCACCTTGCTAGATGCTTCTTCATGAGTTCTGTCTGACACCCTTTGCCCTGTTTTGAAGGCAGCAAGGCATCTGTGTGCAGTCAGTTGGCTAAGTTCCCTCCTCCTCATGCCACCAGGAGAGTTCCAGTCATCACTGAGGATGGGCGGAGGAAGGCTTGCTGTCTGACAGCAGGGTGCCAGAGCTATTCTCCTGCAGCACCTTTTCCTTTCTGCAGGGCATTGAAGGGTCCTTTTTTAGGTTTTTGTTTTAATGTGGCATTTTTGTGTGTGAAGAGCAGAGGTTTCTACTCTCAGAGCCAAGCCATTGGACTGAGCGGTTCCTACATGTTGGAAAAACTCATAAAACCTACCAATCCCAGGTGGGCTTTATTCATCTCTTTATAACATTTGACTTGTAGTGTCCTGTACAGGCCACTACAGACTTAAAAAGTTAAAGTCTGAGAAAGGCTCTAACATCCAAGCTCACCCAATTGTCTACTAACTTCCGAGTCACTATTATGGGTGCTGGTTTTTTCATATGGTCCTGGAGAGCTGCTTTAGGAACCATTGACTGACTGAACAACCCTCAGACACCCCGAGCTGCATTCGCACTAAAAGTCTCACTGCCATTGACTCCATTCTGACTAGTACAGAGTAGATGTGTTTCTTAGCGTTTCTAAGGTAGTAAATCTTTACAGGAGCATGGTTGTCTTTGTGGTTAGCAACTTAACTCGTAGCCCTCTGCCCACCAAGGCTCCTGTAACCTCACAGGGATGGAAGGAGGGGAATGCTTTTATATTCAGAAAAGCCTGGAGGGGCTGGTGTTTTCCCACTGCTGACTTTGCAGACCGCAGCCCTACGCGTTTCAAATCCACCCTTTCCTGTGGTGATGTCCCACTCTTCTTTGCTCCCTGAAAACACAGGCCCCATCGAGTCATCGTGGGTTCCTTTTGGAGGAAAGGATAAGTAGGGAGATTTTTCTGCCTTCTTAATCACACCTCCAACAGTTGAGAGAACAACTCCACCATCTCATTCCACGTCTCAAAGTGGGGTAGAATACGTGTCAGCCACCCCTCTCATGTACCCAGTGCCTGAGATGACACTGTCGCGCATTGAGCCTTCCCCGCTGGGAAGGCTGCGCTGAAGCACAGATGTCCTCCTCAAGGACGCCCGCTTCGTGTGCCGCCACCTCTAGCAGAGCGCGGGGGACTTGTAGACTGATAGCACACTTGTCAAACTGTTGTAGATCCAGTCAAACCAGAAGCAGAAAATATACAACGGTCATGAAGAAGTGTGAGTCCTAGGCTTGTTTCTTGTTGAGACTTTTTATGAGCACATTGTTGTGTGTAATGCAGTGTTGTTGTGGGGGTTTTTTAGTGTGAAAATTACATGACATAGGCATTGAACCTCTCCACCAAAGAGGAAAAAAATAGCATCAGTTTGATTTTTTTTTTTTTAGGACTCCACCATCATTAATTCATCATTCATGACTCTAATGATAGAAACTACTTTTCTTTGTTTCAGAGAGGAACCTTAACCCCAAAGCAGCCTGCCTTAAGCGAAGGGAAGAAGAAAAAGTTTCTGCCGTATCGGCAGAGCCGCCAACTACACTGCCAGGAACCCATCCTGGGCTTAGTGAAACTACCAACCCTATGGGTCATATGTAAACATCAGCCAGGTAAGTTTGGGTTTGGGAAGACCATGTCAGGAACTCACCAAATTTGCTGTAAACTGGGTTAGAGTGTGGAATCTTAAGGTTTTCATGGAGACACTGGTCGTTGCAAAGGCCACATGCAATTTGGAAACCAGCAGTTTGCCTTTCTGCCTTATAACCAGGCTTGAAGATCTAATGTCATTTTATACTAAATTGTTTTTCTCGTCAAAGTGTGCTAATGTAAAGTGTGGTGTGTAAGAGCTGTTGGCTCTACTGCCCTGGGTCATTCTGTGTGCACTCTCAGGAGAGAATTGCGCTGATCCAAGAAGAGAAAAAGAGAAATGGCACACCAAGAAATAGCATTGTTACAACTCCTACCCTCGTGTATCTGCCCCTAAGCTCTTGAGTATGTCAGCAAACCATTGTTGACAGTCGGGCCCTTGTGTGTCATAAAGTCTTCATACAGAGGCTTCAAAAAGTTCATGGGAAAATGGACTTGAAAGGGCATTGGGGGAGGAAGGGGATAAAAAGGAGCTTATATCTAAGGGCTCAAGAAGAAGGATAATGTTACAAAATTGTCAGTGCTAATAACTGTACATGTCCACTTGAGATAACGGAGGTATGGTTTGTTATATGTAAGAGCCCCCAATAAAATTATTTATTTAAAAAAGAAAAGGGAATTTCCCCATGAAATTTGAAGTCCCTTGTGTAGGAGAGAGACTGCTAGATCTCAGTGCAGTTTCAGACACAGAGCTTCCTCCCCATTATAAGCACAACAGGTATATACTGTAGACTTGGCTAATGACTATGTATGTGAGGAGCCATATTGCCCTCTTATAATGGGGTTTACTTTCTGAAAGATCTTCATCATGGACTAAATACAATTCAACTCTCTCTATATAGTTTTACATAGTGACAAAGGTAATTTGAGGTTGTAGCCTAAGTAGTAGTTGACTTGTATCTTTTTTTATTGTCCACTGTGTGCACCTATTTGTGATGCTAATACGTAGGTGGCAGATATTAATATAGACTACAATTAATTAGGGCAGTTGTGCTTTAGGGAAAAGAATGATTAGGAATAGAATGATTTTGTTTCAATCATCTGTCTCAGCAGTCAGTAGTCCCTGCCCCAATTTTATCACCAGATTAAAAGCAGTAAGTAGAGGCAAATAAGTGGGAGACAGAAAAAATTATGAAACGAGGCAGTTGTGTGTGATCAGCTTTAGAGAGCCCACAGGAGACCCTGGCGGGTACAAAAAGCCCCTGGCAACACCAGCTCCTGCATTAAAACTCAATGCCATGGAGGCATTCCTCCTCAGAGCAACCCCAAGGGACAGCCCAGAACGGACCCCATGGATCTCCAAGGCTGCACATCTCTCTCCCTCAGAATTCAGTGGCTGGTGGCTTTGAACTGCTGACCTTGTAAGTTATGCAGCCCACCTAATAGCCACCGCACCACCACTCCTCCACTAAAACACCCAACACATTAACATGATCTTGCCAACAAGCTAGATCTTCTAACGCCATTGTTTCATAGTCTATGGAAAATGTAAGTACTGTGAAAAAAATCAGTATTTCTGCTTCAAACATCAACTTTGAAGTCTAAATATAAAAGAATGCCGTCTCCCAGTGCAAACAAGACTTTACTAAACTGCAGCTTATTTCAAAAAGGAGTGATGAGAAGTAACTTCCTGTGCTCAGGCTCCAGAGAAGACCAGACGATGGAAGGAGCACATTGGCGCTCACTGTCGCACTTCTCTCAGAGCGGGGTGCTGTCTTTCTTACCTATTTTGTTGTGCCCGTTTCACTTATTCTCTTCCCAGTCTCTCTCCATCCTTCTCTCCCAACCTCACATCTTCTCTTTTTTTTTTTAGTTTCTCATTCTTTTCTGTATTTCTTACTGCTTTCATATCCCTACCTCTATCTCCCTCCATCGTGTGGATATTTCTCTACCTAGATGAAAAGTAAGCATATTGCAATTTTTCACTTATCACAGGGGAACTAGGATTCTTTAAAGGGCAAAAAGGCATCCAGATGATGAGAAACATAGGAAATGCACCCTGTTCCAGAGCTGACGTGGGCCGGTGTGTGTGAAAGGAGCGCTGGTGGTGCAGCAGTGAAGCGCTCCTACAGTTTGCCCTCCAGCCATCTGCTCGGCAGGAGAGAGATGGGGCCTAGGAAACTGTAGGACAGTTCTACCCTGTCCGGTAGGGTCTCTCTCTCTGAGTAGAATCCACTCAACAGCAGTTATTGTCCTGGACCATATTCTCAATCTTTCTAATTCCAGGGTGGTATTTATTTGGCTTGACTGGATAAATTTCAGTTCTATCTAGAAAAAAAGAACATAGTCAAACCAGCAAGAGATGAGGCAGCAGAAAAACTGCTGCTATACTCAAAATGGCTGAGAAATGACCATAACATGACTGAATATCAAAGTACAAGAACTTGACCATCATGTAACATAACACCAGGTAGCCCCTAAGTGTCTCAATTGCCCGTCCCCATTATTATGTAATATTCTAGTGGCTGGTAGTGAAGGAGCCTGGGTGGCACAGGGGCTCAGCTGTCTTCAGCTTACAAAAAGGCTTGTGGTTCTAACCCACCCTGCAGCACAGGAGGCAAAACCTAACAGTCTAGTCCCCAAAGAGGACAACCTGGGTAGCCCTTGGAGCAGCCCTGAGTCCCCGGAGCCTGTGGGACTGGAATCAACTCAATGGTATCTAACAGCAGCACTGTGGAATGAGCAAGTGATGGGTATGATTCTTCCCAACGCAATTTCCATTTTAAAAATTGGTTAAAATGGAAAGCTTCAGAGTTACTACTATGGAAATTATATTGGGAACAGAGATCCTTATAGAATTTGTATTACTTAGCGATTTTCTTCATCAGGCCGTTAAACATTTATTGAGGACCTGCTAATAGATGAGGAATGGGGTGCAGTGTGAAAGTGAATGTTTCAACAGTCTCTGGCTTCAGAAAGGGGCCGCTTCAAGGCGGAGACGCACGTAAACCACGCAGAGGCGGCTGCAGCCATCAAGGCCTGCTCTAACGTCAACACACACACACACACACACACACACACACACACACACACACACACACAGAGCAGCAGGAGGCCAGGGTAGTCAGTTTGAGTGTTGCCAGAATTACGGTTTCCATCATTGCCCTCGCTGTCCTGTCATCTTATAGCTTTTGATTCTGCTATGGAGTGATCTCCTTTCAAAATCTCACCACAGAGCAAGTAAAAGCATTTTTCAATTACACCTGTAAAGGAAGAAGCTTATGTGTGAGTCATTTAGCTGTCTGCCAATTTGGTGCAGATCTGAGTGGAAATGCTTGGTGGGGCGGTGCTCATGAGGGGAGATTGTTTTCAACAACCATGTACTAACTGGCACTATTCTTTTCCCTCGGCTCTCCCCGCCACATGTTCCAGAGTTATCAGTAGGCTAGATAGAAGGTGACCGCTCCTCATAAGGACTGTGGACAACTCAAGAGTATCTGAAGACACAAACCTGACAAAGAGGAAGAAGAAAACACAAAACACTTGAAGCAAGAAACTCCTATGTTAATCCTATGATCAAAGCAACTGGTCAACACTTCCAGCCGAAGTGAAGATAGAAGCTCATCAGCTAGAACGCCGGCCCTTGAGGTGTTTGGAACATGCCATTTTGTTGCAAGTAGTGTGTCGCTTCTGCACAATCAGAGACTGTCTCGACCTCTCCACTCACCGTGGATGTTGCCTTGTGCCTAAACTGAATTGACAAATGCATTGTAACTACAAATTTTATTTATTGTTATGGAACTGTAAGGTCTGCATGTGGAAAGCTGACTTCCCCTCAGCTGATGCCAGCGTTCTCTAAAGCTGTTCCTGTTCCGAGAACAAAGCAGTGACAACCATTGGCCCTTAGCATTCCCGCCATACCTATTAGTGTCTTAACAAGGAAGGGGAAAGTCTCGTCGCCCTCTCCTGTCCTTTTGCCATATGAATCGTGTTGTCCATGACATAGGAAAATGTTACTTGGTGTAGCATTGCTCTCTCGCGCGCTCGCTCTCTTTCGCTCTCTCTCTCTTTTTCTCTCTCCTCACTTGTTTGTCCTTTCCTGTTGTGAGTGTTGTTGGGTCTCTGAATCTGGGTCGTTTATGGTCGCAGTCCAGAACCCACCATTCAGCCCGTGTTCTTGCACATCCACCTCGCAACGGCAAGCAGAGACCACCTGTGACCATAGCCTAGCTGAGATCTGAAAGGGGGAAATTCCGTTCCCCAGTACTCCCCCCAAATAAACATCGCTTTCTTTCTAATAATAACCAAGACTTTCCAAACTTCTAGGTTTTCATAGTAAAGCTTGTAATAGCAAGAAGCATAAATTACAAAGAGTCTACTTTTTAGAGATGGCTTTGTTTTCCAAGCAGTGAGTACTGTAATATAGTACTTGTAAAGTGTTAGCTGGCAGTAAGCACACAGCGTTCACAACACACAGAGGGTTTGCCGGCTGTGATTCTGGTGAACATAACCAGACCCGAACGCCACCAAGGCAGGGAGTGCAACAAAATGAACACGCCATTCTGAGGCGAATTACCTAACGGAATACGAGAGCAGCGGTCACCTGTGTTTCCTTGTCCTCGCCTTTGTTTCTGGGTCATTTGGATGGCTGGCCAGTGGGGAGGCGTGCAGTGGGTGATCACTCCACTGCCAACCATCTGCCCAGCCTCAAGAAGATGAGTCTGAATAGCATGAAACCAGTACCCGTAGTCCGTCTTACTTCCGCACCCGAAGCCACCCCTCTGTCTCTAGTCCTTAGGAGTTGTTTGTTGAGGCATCGCAATCGCTTTGAACTTCGTAAAGCCTGTCTGCCACCACAACAGCCCTGGGAGAGAAAGACATGCTAAACAAGGTTGTCTTGCCTTACTAATTCTTCACAGCCAATATTAACCGTGGCGATCAGCACGCAGAAGGAAGGACCCAAATCACTATGTAATGACAAAGAGTTCAGTTTATTTGAAAGAACAAAAGCAATTGAGACAGAACTTGAGATCCTCCGATCAGGATGATTCCTAACAAATCGGTCACTCGTGAACTTTGTGGGCATTTTGGTTACTTTTCGTTTGCAAAGGTTCTCCAGTGTCACCAGACCCTCTCTGTGGCCTTGTCTTCATTTCAGTGTTAATCAGCTAAACAGAAGTTGTTGCTTATGATGTGTGAGTGAACATAGGCCACTGCCTGGCCTTTTTTCTCCAGCGTCTGTTGTCTTTTTCGCTATATTGGACTTTGTGGGACGCCCAGAAGCTTTCCTTCATAAAATAGAAAGAAAAACATTTGGCTTATTTTTCACTGTAGCTAGTCTTTTATACAATAATCTTGTAAGAAAATTTCTTGAATTCTAAATATTACTCTTTCTAGATTTTTGAAATCGAAAAGTTTTCAGTAAAAAGTTTCTTACTTTATTTTATTATATTAGGTAGTAAAAATGTAGGGTTATTTACCATAACCTGTTCATTAATATCAGAAATCTACAATAGCATTTTAAGACCATAGTAGGATTCTAGCATACCGTGTAGTACCTATGGAGTATTGTAAGAGCTAATTGTCCGAGATGAATTGCTTCTCATCTTGTTCTCCAGTTTCCATTGTTGGTTTATTGCAGATTTATATCCTGTGTCAAATTCAAGGTATTATTGATAAACCTTTTCAACCAGCAGCAAGAAGTTCAAATTTTTTTCTGTCACTGTAACAGAAAACTCAATATGTATATAACATTTATGTAGCAATAAATGTGCCATCTTTTTTTTTTTTAACATGGTTAAACCAGTGAGTTTTTTTTAACATTTCTTTCTCAAAAAGTAGTTCATTGTGCTTGCTTTTCTCCATCTCGTTTCTCACAGAAGAGCCCTCCCCACTTCCCTTACCTCTGGCATGATTAACAAAGCCTCTTCAAGGCAGAATTACACACTCATTAGGAAAAAGAGGTTGATAATCTGGTCCAGGGGTCAGCAAACTACAGTTTTCAAGCCATATTCGTTATGTGCATGTGGCTCTGAAGTAAAATTGAAAATCTTAACAGGATATTATTCAGACGGTGATTTCATTTGTCTGTGAAAACACATTTATGGGTCTCAAATGACTTTTTTCATTGTTGTGAAGGACAAGAGTTTGCCGACCCCTGACTTCTACAACCTTCTCCGGGTTGTTGATTTCTCTACCTCACTCTCTCCACTGATGCCTTTCCTGAGGTTTGGCCAACATGGCTATTTGTAAAGGTAATCTCTTCTGTTAAAGATCACAGTGAAAAAGGACAAGCTAGACTCAGGAGGTCTTTTGACTTAACATTCTTCAAAGCAGTCTCATGTCTCCTTTCTTTCAAATAGTGAATGCCATTAGGGAATGGTAGTATATTTACTGTTTCAGATTAAAAAATCAACTTTCATCCCACTTCCCCAATCAGAATACACTCAGTGACTATCCAGGAGGACATCTCACGCAAGGCGTTGAGCGCACTGGACGGGCAGCAAGGGGTGCTCTGGAGGCCGTGTGTGAAACACCCTGAGTCGTGGCACACACCCTGCGGGGACCCTGGCAAACTGCTTCTCTTGTTGGCGTAGAAAAGTCATTGTTCACCCTGGGGCCCCAAGGGGCTATTTTACTTCAGGGATTTGGTGAGGACAATTTACCTTTTCAGTTTGATTTCCATACAAAATAAATTCTAAAGGCACATTAAATAACATGGCATCTACGTTTGGGTGGATGTGTATATACAACATGAGGGACTTTGACAAGTTTGTGGGGAAGATGGAATTTAAAGATACTGACATTTTTAACACATTTTTGAAACTCCTATAAAAGGCTCGAGTTGAAGTGAAATCTAGAAACATCTAGTCAAGCAGCTTGTTTGCAGACGTCCAAAACCTGAACCCTAACGAGGCCCGACCTCTTCAAGAACACAGACCTGCTAACGTTAGATGAAGCGCTTCAAGCCTTCCCTGAAACCCCTGCCTTTTTCTCTCCGGGTTTCAGGCCAAGTCTTTTCAGTAACTTCATTTTTCTGCCCTATGCTTCTCTTTTGATTCTGTTTTTCCTCTTTTTCCCTCATATTTTCTTCCATGAAAGCTCAAATTTTAAATATGTGTGTGTGTGTGTGTGTGTGTGTTTTCAAGGTTAAAGCATATTAGCTTTGGCATCAAACAGTCCTTGATTCAAATCCAAGCTCAACATATAATTAGCCTCTTATTTCCTTACCTGGAAAATGGAGATACTTGTCAGGCAGAATTGTGTAAGTATTGAATGGAACCACATGTGGAATGCTCTCACCCTGATTTCTGTCGCATAAGTAATCCATAAACTATAAATATTTAAAAATAAATAGTAGCTTCCTTTGTAAGTAGTTCTCAAAATGATTCCTCTTCAACCGCCCTGTGAGAGGTCAACTCTGGTACAGTAAATCCCCCAGATGTCAGCCCATCTGGTATTGGCGTGTAACCTTTCTTTTTTTCAAGTATAAGTCTACATTCTTTAAAACCAATCCAGTGGAACATTGCACTTCCAGTCCCTTCCCAAGGGCAGATTTATGAAGATTTACTTTTTTAATTCTTATTATTAACTTTCACATTTCTAAAAAGCCAGTGGACTTTGCCCAGTCACTGTGTTGGCAACTCTGTCTGGTTAGGTCCTCCAGACAACAAAAGCCAAGAAGGAGTGAGAAGTGCCTGGGGCTTATTAGAACCAAATGATGCAAGACTCCACTCCTGAGTGAGTGGGCAGAAACTGATGTTCTGATGGTCAAATCTTGGCTGCAAAGTATGAGGAGACCACACCAAACTCACTGCCCTCGAGTCAGTTCTGACCCTAAGGCAGGATAGAACTGCCCCTGTGGAGCCTTAACTCTTCATGGGAGTAGAAAGCCCTGTCTTTCTCCTGAGCGGTGCCTGGTGGTTTCGAACTGCTGACCTTGAGGCTAGCAGCCCAACATGTAACTGCTTTGCCACTAGGGCTCCTGCTTCAACGAGCAGGATATGGCCAGGAGCAGATAATCCAGTAAGCAAGGCAAATGCAGACTTGTTTGTACTTGCTTACTAATCTGTAGCGAACCAGTAAGCCTGAATTTCCCTTGCTTACTGGTTACTCCATCCCTGTGAAAGAATCCTAATCAGAAAAATAGGTTCCAATTACGTAGGAAGGTGCTGTAGGGGCGGGAGCAGGACGGATGTCAGGCATAGCTTCAAACAACACTGATGTGGGGAAGGAAACAAAAAGTAAAGCTATTCCCCACATTAAAGTAAGCACAGGTGCGCCCATGCATACCTCATTGGACAATCCCAGCCTGCTGGAGGCTAACAGTACCCTGCTCCCACTGCCCCTCAGAGAGAGGCACACCTCCATTGCTGAGTGACAGGGTCCTGTGCAGTCATCGCCGGGCGTGCCTGCCCAGTGTGTTCAGCATTGATCCCTTCCTTCCACAGAGCCCCACCGACGGTGCTGGCCACTCGGGAAGATGAGTTCCTTCCCGCCACCCTCGGGCTCGGAAGTGGGCTTAGGTAATCTGTGTGAATCCCTGAGGTTGCTGTGTGCTTCACAAAGCCCCTGCCTGCTGATTCAGTGCCCAGTCCACAGTCTTCCTGAGACCCGCAGCCTCCGGGCAGTTGCCCTAGACAGGGACATGTGCATGGGAGGTGTTGTCTATTGCAAGAGACACTTAACTGGGTTTGTCCTGTCATCAATAATGTCTCTACAAGACTGATTGCGAACTCTGCCTCCTCACCTTTGCGGCTCTGTGTTCCTCTAGACCAGCGGTTCTCACCCTGTGGGTCGCGACCCCTTTGGGGGTCGAGTGACCCTTTCACAGGGGTCGCCCAATACATGACAGCAACATTACAGTGATGAAGTAGCAATGAAAATAAGTTTGTGGTTGGGGCCACCACAACATGAACTATTAAAGGGTTGCAGCGTTAGAAAGGTTGAGAACCACTGCACTAGACAGAGTCCCAGGCTAAAATCTCTCAGGTGGTCTCTGAACCCCTTTGTCCTGAGTCAGTATAAACTCAGAAGTCCAAGGCCATCAAATGTTCGGACCAAAAAAACCCCAAACTCAGTATTTTATCAAGTCGATGCCGACCCCTAGCGGCCCTATCAGACAGGGAGAGCCGCCCCTGTGGGTTTCTGAGACTGGCTCCACTGAAGCACAGACCCAGGGTGCCCCCCAGGAGCATCTGGGGGGCGCAGAGCATGCACACAGCACCACTGCGCCACCACGGCTCCTGAGGGCCCTGGAAGTGCCCAGTGAGGAAAAACTAGGTAGAAAATTGATGCGGGAGTGGAGCTCATTTTCATGAGTTTGCTCGGGTGGACTCTCGAGAAAGACGCTAAGCTGCTTCCGCTCCACAAGTTCTCGCTCAGGTCTCTCTTCCTCTGCGGCGTCCTGGGGGTCTCCTGGGGAAGAAAATCAAGTGCTGCTTTCTTTGGGGAGGAAGGGAAATTTCTGTATCCCTCAAGATGGAACTGCCTCAATCGAAAGTGCCCCTGGAGAAAGGACCCCATTTTTAGAAGACTGCTGAGCAGACTGCTGTTTACCTGCTCCCGGAGTGAGGAATATTCTCGGTCCATGCAGCCCTGTGAGGCGCTTGGCTTTCTCCCATTTCCCTGGCCTCGTGCAGACCCCTTCACTGAGAGCTTGAGGCCGTTCTCCTGGGCAGTTGGACATTTGGGGCCGGAGTGACAGCCCAGGTTTGCAGCAGGACCCTGCGTGGCCGCACCGCCTGCAGGAGGGACTGCCCCGTGCTGAGGTGTATCCAGCCTTTCCCTGGCAGTTCCTCTCCAGCTTCTGAGTGCGTTAGCAGCCCAGAGAAGCTGGGGGACGCTCCAAAGCAGCACAGTAATAATGCTTACCCCGCTGCCTTCTAGGGACACGAGTCCAGAGCTGGGCTTTTAACCCAGAGGTTGGTTTGGATCCACCCAGAGGCACCCTGGAAGAAAGTCCTGGTGAGCTCATCTCTAAGGGTCACAGCCTTTGAAAATCCTACTGGAGGGAACAGTCCCACTCGGAAACACGTGGGGTCCCCAGGTATAGGAAGTCCTGTCTTGTGGGGACCACTTCACACTCAGGAGGTGAGGTCACTGGGTCAGCCAGAGGCACTGCAAGCCTAGGGGACCTTGTGTCCCTGTGTCCTCCCATCTAAGGCCAGGCAGCGCACACCCACTCCCCACTCCCCCTCCCAGGAGCAGGGTGGTGGCTCAAGCACTCAGGGCATTGTTACTGATCAACCCCGAAAGGGCAGGCAAGGAGCTTGATCTCACCCCGGACTAGCAGAGATTAATTAGCTTGATTCCCAATCATGATTCTTAATTGGGCGTAGGAAGAAAGGAAGGAAAAGACAAAGGAACCATTCTTCCCTCCCCCGCCCCCCACCCCAAACCACAGACCACCTGTCCAGTGGTGGAAGAGGAGCAGCAGGAAATGGGAGGAAGAAACCAGGTGAACAGGCCCCAGCACCTGAGTGCTTCCTGCTGAGCCCGGGGCATCAGGCTTATTAGCAAGGAGGATGCTGAGGAAGGAAGGGGTGCCCTGGCCAGCCGGCAAGGATCACATATGAAAATGGGCTTTTAATTTGTTTGCTTTACTCCCTGCCTAATGATGCACAAGGCAGGCATAATTAAGCAGCAGGCTTGGAAGTGCCTGCACCAGCACCAGGGACTGAGGATGCCCGCAGACGGGAATTCAGGTGGGGGTAAGGGGCCCAGGGTGGTCATCCTGAGACTGGAGAAGAAACAGTGGAAAGAACTAGTTCCTGCAGCTGAGAAACAAAGC